GTTTTTTTAATGAGTTTAGTTACTTTTTTTGGGTTAGCAGTTTGCATCCTTGATCAAAATTTGCAGATCACATACATATCTGATAGCGCGATTTACTTATTTGAGAATATGGATATTTGTATTAAATTTTTTATTTATTATAAGAAAATCACTTTACAATCGAAACACAATCAATTGATATCAAAAATATAACGCAGTATGTAGATCTTCATGTTACGTACTGTATTTTAATCAAAATCTACCCGTACCGTATTCTTACTCTCAAATTACTCGTTTCAATATGATAGCCCTACTACCTCTTGAGTGCACCCTTAAAATCTTTAATGACTTTCGCCACAACACTAAAACATACTATAAAACCTTATTTTCGTGCGCACTAGTAAGTCGTCAATGGTGTAGAGTTGTTATACCGATTTTATGGAATGAACCAAAGCACTATTTTCAAGAAGAAGCTTTTACAGAAGTTTTACTTCTAACTTTAAATTACGAAGAAAGAGAATTATTGAATTCCTTCAAAATTAATATCCCAAAAGAGCCAACACCTTTATTTGAATATACGTCCTATATCACTTCCGTCACCAAGGACATGTATGATGGAGTTAAAATTTGGCTTACTAAAAGATACGAAGCAGCAGTAGGAACTGAGCATGAGGATAACATTAATCATTCGTTAGTTAGTATGTTTCTACGAACAGGCCAAAATCTTAAATATTTATATCTCGACGATATCAATTGCAGTAAAATAATTATTAAGAATACTCCTGTGACCTCTGTTGATTTACATTTCTCGGAAGAAGTCAATCTTGAATATAAATATAAATCATTAGATGGATTAGTAACGAACCTTGATGAAAATACTACATTAACTTCATTGAACATTATATCTGATATTCTTGGAAAAGATGGATTAAAAATAATATGTAAAGGCCTTACTAAAACTTACCTAAATTCTTTCGGCATTTACCAATATCGGATTGGTAACAAGGATGTAAAGATATTCGCAACATTTCTTCGCAAAAACATCACTCTAACTACTTTAAATCTTTGTGGAAGGTCACTTAAGAAAGAAATTGGAGCAAAAGTAGGAAACAGATTAGCTGAAGCACTTTGTAAAAACAAGACCTTGAAAAATTTACAAATTCAATATTATAATTTTGGATTAGAAGAAGGTCGAGCATTTGCCGATGTACTTTGCAAGAACTCCACGTTAATTTCGCTTGATCTTGGTCATAATAACCTCAGATCGGAAGGGGGAGAGGCATTGGCCGATGCACTTTGCAAGAACTCCACATTGACTTCTCTTAATCTTGGTCATAATCTTATTGGATCGCAAGGAGAAAAAGCATTAGCCAAAGCACTTTGCGAGAATACCACTTTAACTTCTCTGAATCTTGCTGATAATCTTATTGTGTTGGAAGGAGCATTAGCCGATGCACTTTGCAAGAACACGACGTTGATTTCTCTGAACCTTGGTCGTAATAATCTTGGATCGAAAGAAGGACAAGTATTGGCCGATGTACTTTGCAAGAACACCACTTTAAATTCCCTTGATTTCGAGCATAATAAACTTGGATCGAATGGAGGAAAAACATTAGCCAAGATATTTTCCAACATTTCGCTAAAAGATTTGAATTTAAAAAATAATAAAATTGGATTAGAAGGGAAAAAGGCTTTAAAGGATGCACTTCAATTAAACGCTAAGCTTACTTCCTTTAAATTACGAGTATAATCAATATAAGTAAAATCAATATTTTATATTGATCGCAGTTTATTGAATTTTCACCGCTTGTTAATGCTATATTAAATCAATAATAAATTCTAGAAATAAAATAAAAGAAATGTACATTCGAACTTCGCAAATTCGTAAAATATACATATCCTGATATCAATAAAATGAAATAAACAAAAAAAGATCGTATACCCGAACTCGATCTTTGAAGCAATATTTTGATCAAACAGCGATTGCTTTTTAGTGTAGGTTTACTAAATGAGGTTTTATTAATACTGCCTTCAGTTATTATATGAAATAATAATAATAATTACATTTACAATACTGTATTGCCTTCGATTATTATATAAAATAATAATAATAATTTTACACAAAAAAAAACCCCCATTTTTACAGTAGTTTTCATCTATGTAATGATTTTTTAAATAAAAAATTCTAATATATATTATTCATATAATTTTTAAATAGCAAAATTTTGTACTGATTCCAAATTTAGATACGACATAGTCGACTATACTAATAAAAATTATAATACATGAGACTATGTCAGCGGATCTACACCATTTGATAAATAGAAACCTATTATTTATAATTCCGATCAAATTTACAGATCATTTGGCCAGATCTAGATCAAACCAATTTTAAATCTGGTCAAATGATCTGCAATTTGTTCAGGTGATGCGGATACTGTATGTTAAAACAACCAGAATTGGATTGGTTTGACAAAGATTGATATATATAAACTGTCTCCTACAGCAAAAATATAAACCAATATATAATCATTTATTGCCTATTTTTGATATTTGATTAAATAATCAATTAATAATTTATTGGCTATAACTAGCTATTTAGCTGATAATTAAGCTATGGCTTAGTTGACTATAAGTGGCTAGCCAATAACTAACCAATAGCCAACTATAACTAACCGAATCTATTTTTAAATATATTACAAATAATACATTAAATTAACAAGAATCAATAAAAAGACACATAATATCTACAACATTTCAAATATTATTTGTTGAATAAATTGGTTTAAATTATATAGAAATATTTTGATATTCAACATTAAACATGGCAAAATTTCAAAATTTCAAAATAATATATAAATTTTAAATAGTATTAAATGTTTAAATTAGTGTTGTTCACTAAAACACTCTAGTGGGAATTATTAGAACTATGAAATCTAGTGCTTATACACCTCCTATAAATGGGTAATAATATAATAAATATAATCACACAACATTTAAACAGGGAGCTTAATTTTCTTAAACAACTACCCTATAAAATAAATAAAGGTCTTCGCTCGACCTTAAATCTTCATAGAACGATAACATGTAATACTATTACTATATATACTCAATAAAGCGCCATAAGCGCACCTTTATATATTAAGGTAAATTCAAAAAAAAAAAACGCATTACGACGCATTTGTCAAATACCCCAAAATTTGAAAAATTTGACTGCTAATACGTAAATAGTAATTTTGGCTAAGATAGTCAGTGCTTCCCAGGTTAAGGTGTGTCATTATAATAAATTTATATGTCTAATTAAGAGTGGGAAGATGGGTTAGCCTGTGGGGAAAATGGGTTAAACACATTGTTATTATAGATCGGAGTGGCAATAATTTTTTTTTGGGTTCAATATTAAAAAATCGATAATAAATTTTGTCCCCAAAACAAATTTGGGGAAAAAAAATTAGTTAAATTTGATAAACGCGCCGTAATGGAATCCAAATGTAGAAAAATTTTTCGTTCGTTAACTCCATGCACTAACGCCCATTTTTTTGTCATTATGTACTGTACGTACGAAGTTCATCCATACCATTTTTTAAATGTCATTAACGTTGAGCATATAGATTACATTTAATTTTGATCGCTGTGGCTTAGGTTAACTACGCCACTAACCTAGCACACGTGCCATTATTCTACCTATAAAAATTATAACTACAGTGCGGGACAGAAAGAGACATCCAATGTCTATTAATGAAACTTTAAAGTGGTATAACTTTTTTAAAACAAGCTAAATCAAAAAACCCTCTGACAAATTGATAGATTTTTAGATAAACTACAATTCTGTCAGAGGATTTCTTTTTATTCTTTGTTTTAAAAAAGTTATAAGAGATTAAAGTTTATATGAGTTCAAAAAATTGGCGTTTAATATAAAAAAAAAGAAACCATATATAGGTTTTTAACCAATCAAAATCAATTGCTCAAAAATTAGCCAATCAGAATTGATTATATAAGCACCAAAAATTGGCGCCAATATGTATAGATTGGATGTCTCTTGCTGTCCCGCACTGTATAAATTGAATTTTAGGATCTGGTGTAACGTGAAATTTAAAAAATCGTTAATATACGTAATATTAACCTTAAGTTATATTGCTTCACTTGATCTCTTTTAACCCAATGAGATCTCCAGGTCAGATGCAACGTAAAAATCTTTATTTTTTTTTAAAAAAAAAAGAAACTGTATACTCCAGAACCCATATTTCGCTTATGAAATCACTTTCTGCGCACTAACAAAAAAACTTCCTTGCGAGATTTTGTCGAAGCATAAATCTCATTTCTGTCATATCGCGAATCTAACGTAAGAATTTATTACTTTAATATTATCGTTTACTTTTCATATGATCTAATTGGACGTACCATCCTTTCCAAATTTGGATTTCTTTGAAATATCTGGTATAAATCCAATGCACTAAAATTTTCGTCATTTCTCAAACTTAAAAATGATTAGAAATCTTCCTCAGGAGTGTTCATATATGGTTTTGAAAAATCTTCGTAAAGATTTTAAAAGTTTATTTTCATGCATACTTGTAAACAGAACCTGGTGCAAAACAGTTATACCTATTTTATGGAGTGAACCCGGCCCCAAATTTAAAGATTACAAATTACTAAAAGTATTATTATTCGCAAATTTAACCGAAGAAGAACTCGCGTTTTTAAGACAATTTAAAATTCAAATTGAGGAACAACCTAATTTAATGTTTAAGTACACGACCTATGTTAAATCTGTCACCGAAGATTTGTACATAGGTATTAGGTTGTGGTTACGACGCGTGTATTTCGAAACAACCAACGACGAAGACGATAACGGTGGCGATGATGATGATGACGATGATGACGACGACAAAAGTGACGACGATAATAACGAAGATGAACGGAAACTTACCGAACTAGAAAACATTGTAAACCGCTCGTTGATCGAAACGTTTTTAAAAACCGGAAATCTTAGACACTTATATCTCGAAAATAATTTTAGCGATATTATGTTTAACGAAAGTGGAATTACCTCTTTAGATGTACACCACCCCTACGATACCGAGGAAAAACTTGAGGTATCATTATTTGAAGGAATACTTAAAAACATTAAAAGGAACAGCACACTGGAATCTTTGAACATAATTTCGTTCCAAATGAAGTCACAAAGATTGAAAGGATTGACAAAGGTACTAGAGGGCTCTAACATAAAGATTCAATCCTTAGGAATAATCAATGATCATATCTGTAACGAAGGTGGCAAATTGATAGAAAAGTTCCTTCACAAAGATACCACTATAACGTCTTTAAATCTTAGTGGATTGTCATTCATCCCGTCTAATGTATCGACCATAGGTACAAACCTAGCTGACGCACTAATTGACAATAACACTCTAACATCATTGAAACTAAGAAATTATAACCTTGGGACCGAAGGAGGAAAAGCGTTAGCAAAGGCGCTTCGCAAGAACGCTACACTTGTTCTTTTAGACATCGGTAGTAATAATATTGGGTCAGTAGTAGGAAAAAAATTAGCAAAAGCACTATGCAAAAACACTAAATTAAAATCATTATATTTATATGGTAATGATATTGGTCAAGGAGGAAATGCATTAGCGAAAGCTCTTAGTAAAAACAGCACTCTGATGTATCTAGATATTGGAGGCAATAACCTTAAATTAGAAGAAGGAAAGGCATTAGCCGATGCCCTTTCCTTAAACAAGACCCTTAAAGGTTTATTTTTACGACATAATAATTTTGGTCCAGATGGTGAAACCGTTTTAGAAAACGTACGCATCTTGAACCCCGCCTTAATCTTGAAATATTAAATTGAACATTACTGTATATGCATATATAATTATAATATAATAAATTTTTCATTTGCAATAAATAAAGTTACAATCATATTATATTAACAATATAATATGGTATAATAAAAAATAAATACCTAATATCAAATAATTAATTGTATAGGAAATTATGATAATTGTAATTATTTGATCTCAATTTATTGATTGGTGGCGCAGTCACACTGAGTCGATTGATTTGCAATTTTTACAAATTGCGAATTAAATACATTATTATTAATTATATTAATTACTGCATCAACTCCTTTATAAAAAAAAGTATCTTACCAATTAATTATCGTAAATTCACTTGGCATACATAACATTACAACCAAATTATTCCTTCGTCGATCGAACACGCGGGTCACGTGGACTATGCAACGATTCAATCTATCGTTACTTCAACGAAAAAGTCTTCAAATGTTTATTTATTTTTATTTTTATTTTTTTAAAGCCGCAACCATTATACTATTAATTCAGTGTTTCCAATTCTGCTTCCTGTACAAAATGCGCGTTTTTTCATCACACCGGTTGACGCCTAAAATAATATAAATATTTTTGGCCCACATGGATAAAAGAATTCATGGTAATTAGTAATAAACAATAATACACTCAATGGTATCAATGTAACATATTCTTCCATTTTTTTTAGCAATTAACAACAATGCGTTCACATACCAATGTAACATATGGTTTCATTTCTTCTCTAATACAGTATTATAATATAACCCACGTAATCCAAAGTTCCATTTCGTATGCCGAATTCGATTAATGGTTTTTTAAAGGGTGCATTGCAATGATTGAACAAAAAATCAAGTCAAGACATTACGATATTAACGGCAATAATTCCTAACTCACATTTTAGCTTCTTTTTCTGTTATTTCAACATTACGTAAGGAATTGAAGTTTTCGTAAATTACCAATAAGCTCTACAAATTGTGTGGAAAGCCCAGTGTACAAAATGTTGAGATATGAAAATGTTTGGGCAAAAGGAATTAATTGTTTTTAGTAAGGCTATACAAAATTAATTATTCGTTTTGCATAACCTGGTATTCCGAAATTCCATTCGGCGGATCGGATTTTTTTTTTTTCTTTATAAAAAAATTTTTTGCTAGAAATCAATAGATTCATGCTCATATTTAAGGCCACGCGAGTCAATTTTTTGTTTTGCATAACATGGGAATCAGAAAACTTGTTTTTTTTAGCAGACCTGTTGGGTTATTCCGGAAAATTAAGTTCGCTATTGGGTGATACTGGATAAATTTATGGAAAAAAATTAAATAGTAAAAATGGGAATAATTGGGGCAATTGAAGCTTAAAAAAAATTTTTTTTTGAAAATTGGGTCGGCGGGTTATGCAAAACGAAAAATTAACTTTGCGTTGCTTAATAATGTTCCTTCTTTAAGTGCTTCTAGTAATAATGATTCTTCCAAAATCTCATTCTGAGGATCGAATCTTTAGCGTGTAGCGATGATCCAGACTTTTCCAAAAATTGAATATTAGTTCATTTATCCCAATATTTTTTAAATCGAATTTTCGTCTTCTCCAATAGATGAAAAATATTTAGAGATGAATAATGAGTTTGGATTGAACGAAAATGGATCTTGCTGAAGAATAGTAATTAAAATTTTCACCAATGCCGGCTAACGAGTGCGCACGAATATAAGGAATAAAAATTCATTATATAAATTTTTAATAAGAATAATTTCCATTAATTCAGGTATATCGGCCGTAAATATCTTTGATGCCTCGGATTTTGTTGTATTACTGTTACACATGGATTTCCTTATGTCAAGAAAATGATCTACATCCGATGTAACACACAATTTTGATAATAATATATTTTTACTTAAAAATAAAGGCCGATTGTCATAGTAAAATTTTGCGTTATTTATGATTTCTTTATTTTTGGCGTTTGTTTAGATTTACG